GGTTCAGCAACAGATTTTATCTGCATAATCACACAGTCAACATCTGCCTCCCATCCCCAGCTGTTGGTTTTTGGCTCAAAACCGCTTTAACCTGGAGTATTTTGTTACCGGGTCCCAAAGTGGTGTTTTCTCAGCTATCCCGTTTAAAGCTGCATTTCCCCCCTGTGTGATCGCTCCTTCGGTGTTAAGCCACCTCTGGTTTAAACCCCTTCCCCACTCAAAAGCTGCCTGAGGCGTCCGCTTTTCGCCCACCATTTTTTTTATGCACTGGCGGTGTGTGCATAGGTGGAGCTCCGCCACTGCGTTTAGATAACCAACATTTAAACGGTCACTTGTTTTAGCGTTTAGATGAGTTTGGGATCTCATGGAGGCCATTTTCGAGTCAAACATTTAAAGGGAAGTCTTTTGTTGGAGGGGTTGGATTGATTCACCCTGGTGGTTCTGCGCATGCGCCATGATAATTTCCCCCCCATTCTACGGATGAGCGCCTATGCGCATGCGCAAACTGAGAATTTTTTTTTAAAAAAACACTGCCAACACACGCTCCCGTGCGTCGGTGGTGTAGACACCGGGGAGCGACGTGACTGTGCAGTGAGGCAGGATAAGGGAGGTAAGTGTGATCACAATTATCCAGATCAAATATAATCCGGTTAGAACCGGAGCACTTTAACCCGCTCTCAGCATGCCGTCTGACCGCACCCACACTTTCGTCTTAGCTCAGGAAGGACGGCTCCAGAGCAAACTAATCTATGCAGTAAAATTGCTCACTCACAATTTTAATGCCAGGAGCTCACAAAGCAGAATTTTTTCTTACAAGACTCCACAGCTTAGAGGGAGCATTGCTTGTGACCATTAGAACTGATTGAATTTAACGGCAGAAGTTTAGAAGAAAGTGATCATATTTAAATAATTTCTCAGTGGATACAGGTAATCAGTTATCAAGTGGTAACTTATCCCAGTGTGCAATGCATGTAGTGACTCAGTAAACCTATTGTCCTACTCTCCTGCCAAGTAGTAAGAAGAATTTTAATCACACCAGGTACAGATGTGTAAGTAAATCATTTTGTTATGTGATAGTCTGAGCTTACACAGAATTTATCATTAGGATTTTTTCAGTAATTTACATATGCTCTAACTAAAGGCTATCTAAAAGAGTAACTTTCATCATCATACTCCAGTTCATCTTCTGCATCATCCTCCAGAAGTCCATATTTAAATTTACGATAGACTGTGCCATCTTGGCCCATGTAGACAATATCATCATCGTCATCATCATCATCATAATCGTCTCGATCTTTGTATTCAATCACCTGATCTTCTGGGTAACTGGTGCTTTGGTAGTGATTACTTTTGATAGAAGTGAGAGTCTTTGCATTGTCTGCCAGCTTTTCATATCCACCTTGGTTTAGTGGCTTGGGTTTGGCTCGTGACCTTCTCCAGATGAAAATAATAGCTCCAGTGATGAGGATTAACAAAATGGATGAGGCAACAACCAAAGCTGCACTTTTTCCTTTATATTCATCAGGCAAGTTCAAACTGGTGCGTAATATGCACTCTCCTGCGGGGGCAGAAGCACAACTTTTATGCATGATGCTTATACCTACTTTACATCGTTACAACTCTTGATTCCTAGATCTTTAGTACAAAGTTTTGCTACTGCATTTTTTGCTTATTTTTAACTGCAGTTTTGTTATTTTATTGTTTTTGAGTTTATGTATTTTGTAAACTATCCAAAAGATCAATTTGATGGAAGCTCAGGGTAAAAATGTTTTAACTAAATAAAAGAAATATGTTTACAAAGACAAGCATGGACAAAAGACATCTGAGATAGGAATTGCTGGCATCCAACTCTTTGCCTGAAGAACACTTCCACTTCGGGACAAGTGACTAGAATGTATCCAAGATCTCAAAAGTGCATGTATGTAGGAATTCTGTATTTTATACTCAGATACAAGGGAAATCAGATTATCTACAGATAAACTCAGGAAGACCTATACTTATTTAGGAATTGAACATTGAGCCCCTTTATTTTTTAAAAATAGCTCAGTTCATCAGCTGTTCAACAGTTTTCATTTCCACTGAAAATACTCCAACAAAAGGCTCAGGGTGTGTTTGTACTTCTTGCTATTGCTTTTCTGAGGCAGGGAGTAGAAGAAGGGGATTTGTCCTTTGTCAAAAGAAACATTATGGCATTGTGGTAGAGCTTTATTTAATATATATATACCCCCCCCCCCTATATCCTGAGGCCGCTAACAAAATAGCAAAAGCTGTCAGGAAACAAAAACATTACTTAATCAGAAACAAGCTAAAAACCACCATACAACTAATACAAACAGTTTACTTTCAAAGCATATAATAGCTGCACCTTTAAAGTTAACCCCCCCAGCAGATTACAAATTTGTAAGGTATACGATTTCAGAATGTTAGGATGAGCTCGTTTGACTGAATGATCCTCCTTCCAGAAAGAAAAAAAAGCTGACAGGAAGAAAGGTTCTCACTTTCTCCTGCGATGCTAACTCATGTAAGCCTCAAAGGCAATCTGAAGTGATACAGTCCAGGAATACTTGAGACAACTAATGGTGTTGATGGGCAATAGATTTAGAACAGAAACAGGAAATACTTTATTTAGCAAGTAATTGTGGAATTCACTGCCAATGAACATAGTGATGGCCATAAGAATGTGTGTTTAAAGTGCTGTCAAAGCCACAGGGTTTTCCAGATGAGACAAACAGAAGTGGTTTGCCATTACATGCCTCTGCATAGCCACCCTGGACTTCCTTAGCAATCTCCCATCCAAATAGTAACCAAGGCTAACCCTGCTTAGCTTCTGAGGTGTAATGGAATTAGGCTAGCCTGGGCCATTTAGGTCAGGGCATCTTGAGAACAGATGGCCTTGAAAAGGGATTAGGCAGATTCATGAAGGATAGTCTATCAGTGGCTACTAGCCATGATGACTTAAAGGGACCCTCCCTAGCCAGATGCAGCAATCCTGTGGATACCAGTGCTGGGAGGCAACATCTCTGTCTTGTTTGTTGACCCTGCAGAGCAACTGGCTGGCTGCTGTGTGAAACAGCATGCTGGACTGAATGGGCCAGTGGTGTGATCCAGCAGGCTCTTCTTATGTTCTAATAGCTCTGCCACTTAATTTGCTTTTTTTGCGGCCTTTGTCAGGGCTGGTAGGCTCACTGAGGAGGCTAATTGGCTCACTTTCACCTTCTGCATTATATGGCTCTCATGCATGAATGCCTTCTGGCTCCCCCAGCAATCAACTATAGGGATGGACACGAACCGGATCCTGAAATAAAGTTTGTGACAAATTTTGGGCAGTTC